TACCCAAAGGAGTTGACAACTTATGTCTACATAAAAACCTGCACATGAATGTTTATAGAAGCTTTATTCAAAATTGCCAAAATTTGAAAGCAACCAAGATACGCTTCAATAATTGAATGGATAAACAAATTGTGGTACCTCCATATGATGGGTACTAATTCACTAATAAAAAGAAATGAGGTACTAGTCATGAAAAGACATGGAGAAACCTTAAGTGCACACTGCTAATAAGTAAAGGAAACCAGTCTGGAAAGGCTACATACTGTATGATTCAGATTATGTGACATACTGAAAAATACAAAACTCTGAAGACAGTAAAAACAATCAATGGTTGCTAGGGGTGGGGAGTGGGAGGCTGTGGATGAACAAATGAAGGACAGGGGATTTTTAGGGCAGTGAAACTACTCTGTGTGATATAATGGTGGACACATGGCACTTTTCATTACCAAAATCCATAGAATGTACAATACAAAAAGTGAACCCTAATGTAAACTATGGACTTTAATAAACAAAATTTTCTAAAAAGATTAAACAAGATGATGTACATAAACTACTTAGCCTACTAACTAGCACATGCTAGGCGCTAATAAATAATAGGTTCTATTGGTTTTATTCTTTCTATAAGTTTAATAATGTCATTTAGAACATAGTTTATATTTACATAGTGATCTTTGGATATAGTTTGTTTGGATGCAGTTCTGTTTCTGTTGGATTTGTTATTTAAAAATTTAATTGGTGGGGCACCTGGGTGGTGCAGTCGGCTAAGCATCTGACTCTTGATTTTGGCTCAGGTCATGATCTCAGGGTCATGAGACTGGGCTCACCAGGAGCCTCTGTGCTCAGCGCAGAGTCTACTTGAGATTCTCCCTCCTTCTCCCTCTGCCCCTCCCACATGAGTGCATGCAGGCTCTCTCTCTCTAAAATAAATAAATCTGTTTTAAAAAATCTAACTGGTAAGCAAAAGAGAATTACCTATCCTTTATTACCATGGATTGATTCAAAGAAATATAGTATTTTCTCCTCTACTGCTTATCCTATGCAAATTAATAGTTGTCAAAGCAAGGGTAAGGATGTAGAAAAAGAAGAACCCTCTTACACTGTTGGTGGGAATGCAAACTGATGCAGCCACTCTGGAAAACAGTATGGAGGTTCCTCAAAAGGGTAGAAATAGGGCAGCAAGGTAGCTCAGATAGTTAAGCATCTGCCTTCAGACCAGGTCATGATCCTGGAGTCCTGGGATCGAGTCCCACGTCAGGCTCCCTGCTCAGCGGGGACCCTGCTTCTCCCTCTCTCCCTCTCCCTCTGCCTGCTGCTCCCCCTGCTTGTGCTCTTTCTGTCTCTCTCTCTCAAATGAATAAATAAAATCTTTTAATTAAAAAAGAAGTTAAAAATAGGGACACCTGGGTGGCTCAGTCAGTTAAGCATCTACCTTTGGCTCAGGTCATGATCCTAGGGTCCTGGGATCGAGTCCCACATCAGGCTTCTTGCTCAGCGGGAAGCCTGCTTCTCCCTCTGCCTGCCACTCCCCCGGCTTGTGCGCTCGCTCTCTCTCTCTGACAAATAAATAAATAAAATCTTTTTTTAAAAAGTTAAAAATATAACTACCCTATGATCCAGCAATTGCACTACTAGGTATTTATCCAAAAGATACAAAAATAGTGATTCAAAGGGGCACATGCACTCCAATGTTTATAGCAGCAATGTCCACGATAGCCAAAATATGAAAAGAGCCTAGATGTCCATCAACAGATGAATGAATAAAGAAGATGTGCTAGATGCACACACACATACACACACACACAATGGAATATTACTTGGCCATCCAAAAGAATGAAATCTTGCCATTTGCAATGACGTGGATAGAACTCGAGGGTATTAGCTAAGCAAAATAAGTCAGTCAGGGATGAGCAAAGTGAAAAAACCAGGAGGAGACATAGCCAACTCAGGGCCTGGCCAGTGGATCCTGGTAAGAAAAGATTCCTCATCCAGGAAGTAGAGTACTATAATGACAGTCTTCATAAACATCCAAAAACTGAGAGGGGGGGAAAGATGGAGGAGGAGTAGGGAACCCTATTCCAATCGGTCCCCAGAATTGAGCTGACCAGACCACTCTGAACACTGATGAAATCAGCCTGAGATGTAAGAAGATAGATCTGGATCTCTACAAACAGAATATTGCAAGTGGTTGGTTTCGAGGTACGAAGTGGGGAGCCGTGATTCTGTGGGCAGATATCGGAAGATAAACAGCAGCGGGAGGGAGCCGTGTGGATCCTGCACCCCCGGTGAGCGACAGCCTCCCGTGCTGGGGACCGGGCACAGACTTGCAGACTGCTAGCAGCGGGGAAAGAACTTTAGGGCAGCCCCCAGACGGAAATCCAGAGTGGCGGGGTCGCACATGTGAACTGGGGGTGGCTGGTGGTTTTAGAAGCACAAAGGGCAGGGACGTGCCCTGACCTGGAAGCAAGGACTGGGAGCGCTGCTAAGGGGCACACAACACAGGATGCTGAAGTTTATAGCAGCATTGACAGAAACAGAGATACTGTAGCCGGAGAGCTCCCTGAAGAACAGACTACGATCTCTCTGCTCTGAGGCAGAGGGTTGGAAACTGTCTCTTCTGCTCTCTCGGAAGAGATGCGGAAAGCTACCAAGGAAAGCCGCCAGAGGAAAAAAGCCCCAAAAGGCCAGTTTTCAGAGAGCCCTCAACTCTGCCCAAACAGGGTTGCTTGAGTAACAGCCAGACAGGCCCCTCCCCCAGAAGACAGGCTGGGAGAACAAGAGGCCAGCAACCCTAAGGTCCCTATAAAACAGGTGCATCTTGCTTGGGTTGTGGTCAATAATTTGGACTCTGTACATTACCTCAACCACCCCTCAAAAGAATGACTAGGAGGAGGAACCCCCAAAATAGGAAAGACTCAGAGATTATGACTTATGCCACAGATTTATAAATGATTCAGAGATAACCAAGATGTTGGAGATGGAATTCAGGCTAGCAATTATGAAGACAACAGCTAGAATGGAGAAATCAATTAATGGCAACATAGAGTCTCTAAGGGCAGAAATGAAAGCTGAATTCGCGGAACTTAAAAATGCTATCAATGAGGGGCGCCTGGGTGGCTCAGTTGGTTGGGCGACTGCCTTCGGCTTGGGTCATGATTCTGGAGTCCCAGGATCGAGTCCACATCGGGCTCCCTGCTCAGCGGGGAGTCTGCTTCTCCCTCTGACCCTCCCCCCTCTCATGCTCTCTCTCCCATTCTCTCAGATAAATACATAAAATCTTTGTGAAAAAAATGCTATCAATGAGAGCCAATCTAATCTAGATAATCTAACAGGTAGGGTAAGCGAGGCAGAAGAACGAATTAGTCACCTAAAAGACCAATTAATAGATAAAAAGTGAAAAGAGGAGACCAGGGAAAAACAACTCAGAATCCATGAAAATAGAATCAGAGAAATAAGTGACACCATGAAATGTTCAAATGTCAGAATTATTGGAATCCCTGAGGGGGTAGAGAGAGAGAGAGGACTAGAGATATATCTGAGCAAATCGTAGCTGAGAACTTCCCTAATCTGGGGAATGAAACAAACATTTGGGTGTCCTAGAGGCAGAGAGGACCCCTCACAAGATCAAGGAAAACAGGCCAACATGCTGGCATGTAACAGTAAAACTCACAAATCTTAGAACCAAGGAAACCATCTTAAGGGCAGATAGGGGGAAGAGATTCCTTACGTACAGAGGGAGGAACACCAGAATAACATCAGACTTATCCATAGAGACTTGGCAAGCCAGAAAGGCCTGGCAAAACATATTCTGGGTACTAAACGAGAAGAACATGCAGCCAAGAATACTTTATCCAGCAAGGCTGTACTTTAGAATGGATGGAGAGATGCAGGGCTTCCAAGACCAGCAAAACTGAAAGAATACGTGACCATTAAGCCAGCCCTGCAAGACATATTAAGGGCGGTTCTATAAAAGGAGAAAGACCTCAAGAGTGATATAGAACAGAAATTTACAGGGACAATCTATAAAAACAAGGTCTTCACAGGCAACATGATGACAATTAATTCATATCTTTCAATAATCACTCTCAACATGAACAGCCTAAATGCTCCCATAAAATGGCACAGTGTTGCAGACTGGATAAAAAGACAGGACCCATCCATATGCTGTCTATGAGAGACTCATTTTGAACCTAAAGATACATCCAGACTGAAAGTGAAGGGATGGAGATCCATATTCCATGACAACGGACCTCAAAAGAAAGCTGGGGTAGCAATTCTTATATCAGACAAATTAGATATTAAACTAAAAAGTGTAGTTAGAGACACAGAAGGACACTATATCATTCTTAAAGGGTCTATCCAACAAGAAGATCTAACAATTGTAAATATCTATGCCCCCAACATGGGAGCAGCCATCTATATAAGCCAACTGTTAACCAAAATAAAGAGTCATATTGATAACAATACATTAATTGTAGGAGACCTCAATACTCCACTCTCAGCAACAGACAGATCATCTAAGCAGAAAATCAACAAAGAAACAAGAGCTTTGAATGACACACTGGACCAGATGGACCTCATAGATATATACAGAACATTCCACCCTACAACAACAGAATACTCATTCTTCTCAAGCGTACATGGAACTTTCTGCAGAATAGACCATATACTGGGTCACAAATCAGTTCTCAACCGATACCAAAAGACTGAGATTATTCCCTGCATATTCTCAGACCATAATGCTTTAAAACTTGAACTCAATCACAAGAAAAAATTTGGAAGAAATTCAAACACTTGGAAGCTAAGACCACTCTGCTCAAGAATGTTTGGGGTCAGTCCCCTCAGCCTCCGCTGCCACCGCCCCTCTGCCAGAGCTCTGGCACCACCTTGGGCCGGCGGTCCTCCGTGGGAGGGAGCGAGGTGGCAGGCGGCCAGCTGACGGGGACGGCGGGGCGGCGGGGCGACCAGCGGTCCTGCGCACTCGGGGGTGGTATCTACATGGGACTGGCCCAGGGCGCCCGTGCGCTCTAAGGTGGACCAGCAAATTCTGTTTATCAGAACATTTCCACTGCTGCACCTGAGGGCACACACATCTTCAGCGGGACTTGGAATTCCAGAGAATTGCCTTTGTGAGAAACTGGCAATAATTTCTTTAAATTCCATCTCTTAGTTTTCCATTTTGTTACATTTCAGAGGAACTTCAAGAAACCATGAACAGCTTTAGTAATGCAGATTTAGACTGCCATTTCCTCAATGAAGGCTTTACTGCCAAGGATATTCTGGACCAAAAAATTAATGAAGTTTCGTCTTCTGACGATAAGGATGCCTTCTATGTCGCCGACCAGGGAGACATTTTAAATAAACATCTGAGATGGTTAAAAGCTCTTCCTCGGGTCACCCCCTTTTATGCAGTCAAATGCAATGATAGCAGAACCATAGTGAAGACCCTTGCTACCACTGGGACAGGATTTGACTGTGCCAGCAAGACTGAGATACAATTGGTACACAGTCTTGGGGTGCCTCCAGAGAGGATTATCTATGCAAATCCTTGCAAACAAGTGTCTCGGATTAAGTATGCTGCCAATAATGGAGTCCAGATGATGACTTTTGATAGTGAAGTTGAACTGATGAAAGTTGCCAGGGCGCATCCAAAGGCCAAGTTGGTTTTGCGGATTGCCACCGATGATTACAAAGCAGTCTGTCGCCTCAGTGTTAAATTTGGTGCCACACTCAAAATCAGCAGGCTTCTTTTGGAACGGGCGAGAGAGCTAAATATTGTTGTCATTGGTGTCAGCTTCCACATGGGAAGTGGCTGCACGGATCCTGAGACCTTTGTGCAAGCCATCTCTGATGCCTGCTGTGTCTTTGACATGGGAGCTCAGGTTGGTTTCAGCATGTATCTTGCTTGATATCAGTGGTGGTTTTCCTGGATCTGAGGATGTGAAGCTTAAATTTGAAGAGATCACCAGTGTGATCAACCCAGCCCTGGACAAGTACTTCCTGGCCGACTCGGGGGTGAGAATCATAGTGGAGCCCAGCAGATACTATGTTGCCTCAGCCTTCACGCTCACAGTGAACATCATTGCCAAAAAACTCGTATTAAAGGAACAGACAGGCTCTGATGATGAAGATGAGTCGAGTGAACAAACCTTTATGTATTACATGAACGATGGAGTGTATGGATCATTTAATTGCATCCTCTATGATCATGCCCACGTGAAGCCCCTTCTGCAGAAGAGACCCAAACCAGATGAGAAGTACTATTCAACCAGCATATGGGGACCAACATGTGACGGCCTGGATCGCACTGTCGAGCACTGCGACTTGCCCGAGATGCACGTGGGCGATTGGATGGTCTTTGAAAACATGGGTGCTTACATGGTTGCTGCTGCTTCTACTTTCAACGGGTTCCAGAGGCTGACTATCTACTATGTGATGTCGGGGCCAACATGGCAACTGATGCAGCAGATCCAGAACCACGACTTCCCGGCCGAAGTGGTGGAGCAGGACGTCGGCACCCTGCCTGTGTCCTGTGCCTGGGAGAGTGGGCTGAAGCGCCCCCCGGCTGCCTGTGCCTCCGCCAGCATCAACGTGTAGGTGCCACTCCTGTAGCTGTTACCTTCGAGTTTAGCTTGAATTGGGGGACTTGGGGGGACCGTTTAACTTAATTCTTGCTAGTTTTGAAATGTCTGTAAGTAGGGTTGGCATGGATGCAACAGTATGGAAGACTAGAAGATGGGGTCACTTTATCTGTGTTCCTATGGAAACTATTTGCATATTTGTTTTATATGGATTTTTATTCAGTTTTTAGACACGCTACTAAGGCGCGCCCCCCGCCACTGAGCAAGCGTTTGTAGCTTGAACACTGCAGGGCGGGCCAGAAGCTTAGTGTTGTGACCTGTTTTAAAAATAAAGTATCTTGAAATAAAAGAAAAAACTAAAAAGAAAAAAAAATAAATAAATAAAAAAGAATGTTTGGGTTAACCAGGAAATCAAAGAACTTAAACAATTCATGGAAACCAATGAGAACTAAAATACATCACTCGAAAACCTATGGGATACTGCAAATGTGGTCCTAAGGGGGAAATACATAGCCATCCAAGCCTCACTCAAAAAAATAGAAAAGTCCCAAATTCACCATCTAACTCTACACCTTCCAGGACTAGAGAAAAAGCAACAAATGATGCCTAAGCCATGCATTAGAAGAGAAATAATTAAGACTAGAGCAGAGATCAATGAATTAGAAACCAAAAACAGAGTAGATCAGATCAACGAAACTAGAAGCTGGTTCTTTGAAAGAATAAGATCGCTAAACCACTGGCCAGACTTATCCAAAAGAAAAGAGAAAGGACCCAAATTAATAAAATTATGAATGAAAGGGGAGAGATCACGACTAACACCAAGGAAATACAAACAATTATTAGATTTTATTATCAACAACTATATGCCAAGAAGCTGAGCAACCTGAATGAAATTGATGCCTTCCTGGAAACCTATAAACTCCCAAGACTGAAACAGGAAGAAATTGACAACCTAAATAGGTGAATAACCAGTAACAAGATTGAAGCAGTGATCAAAACCCCCCTAAAAATCAAGTCAGGGCCTGATGGATTCCCTAGGAAATTCTACCAAACATTCAAAGAAGAAATGATACCTATTCTCCTGAAGCTCTTTCAAAAAAACAGAAACAGAAGTAAAGCTTCTAGACTCATTCTATGAGGCCAGAATTATCTTAATCCCCAAACCAAAGACCCCATCAAAAGGGAGAATTCCAGACCGATATCTCTGATGAATATGCGTTCCAAAATCCTCAACAAAATCCTAGCTAATAGGATCCAACTACATTAAGAGGATCATCCACCACAACCAAGTGGGATTTAGCCCCAGGATGCAAGCGTGGTTCAACATTCGCAAATCAATCACTGTGACAGAACACATTAATAAGAGAAGAGAGAAGAACCATATCGTCCTCTCAACTGATGCAGAAAAAGCATTTGACAAAATAGAGTATCCTTTCCTGATTAAAACTCTTCAGAGTGTAGGAATAGAGGGAACATCCCTCAAGTTCATAAAATCCATCTATGAAAAACCCACAGTGAATATCATCCTCAGTGGGGAAAGCTGAGAGCCTTTCCCTTAAGATCCCTGAACATCCTTCACATGTCAAGGATGCCCACTCTCACCACTATTGTTCAACATAGTACTAGAAATCCTAGCAACAGCAATCAGACAGGAAAAAGAAATAAAAGGTATTCAAATTGGCAAAGAAGAAGTCAAACTCTCTCCCTTCACAGATGACATGATACTTCATGTGGAAAACCCAAAAGACTCCACCCCCAAATTACTAGAACTCATACAGCAATTCAGTAGTGTGGCAGGATACAAAATCAATGCACAGAAATCAGTTGCTTTCTTATACACTAACAATGCAACTGTAGAAAGAGAAATTAGAGAAACGATTCCATTTACAACAACACCAAAAACCATAAGACACCTCGGAATAAATCTAACCAAAGAGGTAAAGGATCTATACTCTAGGAACTACAGAACACTCATGAAAGAAATTGAAGAAGACACAAAAAGATGGAAAAACATTCCATGCTCATGGATCGGAAGAATAAACATTGTTAAAATATCTATGCTACCCAAAGCAATCTATACCTTCAATGCCATCCTGATCAAAATTCCAATGACATTTTTCAAAGTGCTGGAACAAACAATCCTAAAATTTGTATGGAATCAGAAAGACCCTGAATCGCCAAGGATATGTTAAAAAAGAAAAACAAACCTGGGGGCATCACGTTGCCTGATTTCCAGCCATATTACAAAGCTGTGATCACCCAGGCAGCATGGTACTGGCACAAAAACAGACACATAGATCTATGGAACAGAACAGAGAGCCCAGATATGGACCCTCAACTCTATGGTCAACTAATCTTCGACAAAGCAGGAAAAAATATGCAATGGAAAAAAGTCTCTTCAATAAATGGTGTTGGAGAAATTGGACAGCCACATGCAGAAGAATGAAACTCAACCATTCTCTAACACCATACACAAAGATAAACTCAAAATGAATGAAAGACCTCGGGCGCCTGGGTGGCTCAGTCATTAAGCGGCTGCCTTCAGCTCAGGTCATGATCCCAGAGTCCTGGGATCAAGTCCCACATCGGGCTCCCTGCTCCGTGGGAAGCCTGCTTCTCCCTTTCCCACTCCCGCTGCTTGTGTTCCTGCTCTCGCTAACTCTGTCTCTCTCAAATAAATAAATAAAATCTTTTAAAAAAAAATGAATGAAAGACCTCAATGTGAGACAGGAATCCATCAAAATCCTAGAGGAGAACATAGGCAGTAACCTCTCTGGCATCAGCCACAGCAACTTCTTTCAAGATACATCTCCAGGGCGCCTGGGTGGCTCAGTTGGTTAAGCGACTGCCTTCGGCTCAGGTCATGATCCTGGAGTCCCTGGATCGAGTCCCGCATCGGGCTTCCTGCTCCGCAGGGAGTCTGCTTCTCCCTTTGACCCTCCCCTCTCTCATGTGCTCTCTCTCATTCTCTCTCTAACAAATAAATAAAATCTTTAAAAAAAAAAAAAAAAGATACATCTCCAAAGGCTAGTGAAACAAAAGCAAAAATGAACTTCTGGGACTTCATCAAGATAAAAAGCTCTGCACAGCAAAGGAAACAGTCAATAAAACAAAGAGGCAACCCATGGAATGGGAGAAGATATTTGCAAATGACACTACAGATAAAGGGCTGATATCCAAGATCTATAAAGAACTTCTCAAACTCAACACCCAAAAAACAAATAATCAAGTCAAAAAATGGGCAGAAGACATGAACAGACACTTCTCCAAAGAAGACATACAAATGGCTAACAGACACATGAAAAAATGTTCATCATCATTAGCCATCAGGGAAATTCAAATCAAAACCACACTGAGATACCACCTTACATCAGTTAGAATGGCAAAAGTAGACAAGGCAAGAAACAACAAATGTTGGAGAGGTTGTGGAGAAAGGGGAACCCTCTTACACTGTTGGTGGGAATCCAAGTTGGTACAGCCACTTTGGAAAACAGTGTGGAGGTTCCTCAAAAAGTTAAAAATAGAGCTACCCTATGACCCACCGATTGCACTACTGGGCATTTACCCCAAGGATAGAGATGTAGTGAAAAGAAGGGCCACATGTACCCCAATGTTCATAGCAACAAAGTCCACAATAGCCAAACTGTGGAAAGAGCTGAGATGCCCTTCAACAGATGAATGGATAAAGAAGATTTGGTCCATATATACAATGGAATATTACTCAGCCATCAGAAAAGATGAATACCCAACTTTTGCATCAACATGGATGGGACCGGAGGAGATTATGCTAAGTGAAATATGTCAAGCAGAGAAAGTCAATTATCATATGGTTTCACTTATTTGTGGAACATAAGGAACAGCGTGGAGGACATTAGAAGGAAGGGGAAAATGAAGGTGGGTAATCAGAGGGAGAGACGAACCATGAGAGACTATGGACTCCGAGAAACAAACTGAGGGTTTTAGAGGGGAGGAGGTGGGGGGATGGGTTAGCCCGGTGATGGGTATGAAGGAGGGAACATACTGCATGGAGCACTGGGTGTTATACGAAAACAATGAATCGTGGATCACTACATCAAAAACTAATGATGTATTGTATGGTGACTAATATAACATAATAAAATAAAATTTAAAAAAAAGTCAGAGAAAGACAAACAGCATATGATTTCACTCATTATGATTTCACTCATATGTAGAATGTAAGGAACAAAACAGACGAACTTAGGGGAAGGGAAGGAAAAATAAAGTAAGATAAAAACAGAGAGGGAGGCAAACCTTAAGAGACTCTTAACTATAGGGAACAAACAGAACTGCTGAGGGGAGGAGGGTGGTGGGATGGGGTAACTGGGTGATGGGATTAAGGAGGGCACTTGATGTAATTAGCACTGGGTGTTATATGCAACTGATGAGAATCACTAAATTCTACCCCTGAAACTAATATTAAACTATATGTTAACTAAATTGAATTTAAATTAAAAAAATTTTTTTGAAGTCAAGAAAAGCAAACTCTGGCTCAGGCATGAGTTTTACTGAGTTTTATCTTAGTCCATGATTTACAGTTGGTGTAAAATTTCAGTATGGACTTGGTTAATTATAATGCAGTTGCAACATATTACATTTTGAGTTGACTTTTGCTATACCCTGCACTGTTATGTAAAATGCTAACTTTAATCAAGAATTGTTCCAATACTATATTCTTATTTGTCCTGCATGAATTTTCTCCTCTTTTGTGTAAGTTTTTTGTATGGTTAAAATCAGGGTGGAAAGAACAGGCAGGAAATATAAATTTAAGTGACATATTATAAAAGAATTACATCACAAAACATTAAAATGGTGCACAGAAAATTTTGCCAACATCTAAGAGAATAGAAAGGATTGCATAATTAAATAACACCTGTTCTGTTATTTGGAAATGGAGTGTCAGAGTCCCTTTCCTTTTCTCACTAGACACTAAGAATCTATATGTTACATCCATTTCCTTATCCTGTACCTTCTTGGTTGGCAGCTTTTCTTGGCTCATTTCAGAAACATGGAAACACAAGCAATCAGAAAAAGTTGGGACAGAAACTTCCTCTTTCTTTCCTCTTCTTTTCTTTTTCCTTTACATATCTGCACCTACACATCTTCCCTCAAGTTCACCTTATCCACGGCTGTTGGGGAAAGTTTAATGACCAGTTTAGTTTGTCTCTTTTGTCTCACCTCTGTAACTATTTTAAGTTGAGGTCTCTAGCTCATGTACTGGGATCTGTACAATAAAAAATAAGAGAAAGGAATAGAAAAGAAACCTGCACCCCCATGTTCACTGCAGCATTATTTATAATAGCCAAGGCAAAGGAAACAACGT